ACACACACACACACACACACACACACACACACACACACACACACACATTTGCCCATATGCGTTGCGCTGTACAGAATTATCCAGTCAGCTGTGTCTCCTGGGCTGTTGCAGGTGTTTGGCGGGAAGTTTCTCAGGTCCTGGCTGGGATTGAGTCGGGGAAAGGGAATGCCAGTTAGCAAATGGAATTCTAAGGTCATAATCCACACACCTGAACAGACATCCGTCTTTCCTTTCGTTCGGGAAACATTTGACCCCATGATGAGCCAGACCCTGGATAACTGAGACACATCAACTCTCTTTTCAGGTACTATTCATTCTAATATGTGGAGACAAGCAAATTATTGACTCAACTTCATACAAACATGAGTAATAGAAAATAAAACAGGCCAAGAAAAACGGTGGGTGTATCTAGAAATGATAATTGAAGACATTAGGAATGGTGTGATGTGGCTTTAATGATTTTAAATAGAATTCAAATGCAGATGTTTACTGCGTCATTCCCTTCATTCCAGTAGTTACTTCCAGATTTTGAAAACTAGCATCAGAATAGAAAATTCTACTAGAAGGGTTCAATGGATGCAGAGGCGCCAGCAGGAAAGCTTGGATAACGGTGCATGCTGGGTTTTAGGGCTTTGAGCATTTGGGTGAAAGACTTCTTCCCACTAAATCCCAGAGTCCTGAGGCTGAGGAAGCCTGATTCCCTTCCTTTTTCTTTTTTCTTTTTTCTTTTTTTTGGTTCCGCTTCCCCATCTTGTCTTCTTTCTCTGTGGGTCCTGGGGTCTCTTCCTTCCAGATTAGGTATCTGTGGACTCCACTTTGCTGTAATGGAAGAGTGTGGCACAGACAGACCTCTAGTTCTCTCAGCGGAGTTCTGATTCTGGCTAAGTGTTGGGGGTGGAGCCTTGCAGCAAGCAACAAGGCTCCATCTTGAAAGGTCATAACCAGTTTGTTCCTTTGTCTTATCCTTCCCAACCTCCAAAATGTTAACTTTTTAATTGTTTTCTTTCGTTTGTTTGGTTTTTGAGACATTCTTTCTCTGTGGAGCGCTGGCTACATGACTGGAGTTTGAAAGAATCTTATGGTGAACTGTGGTGAAACCATGACAACAGCAGCATGGGAAGGAGAGTAAAATAAACGTGGACATATTGTTTGTGGGCAAAATTAGAATCCTTCCAGTTAACCCCATTCTGATTGATGCTTGTTGGTTGCTTCCTGTTCAATATCCCCCTCCCTCTTTTCTCCTCTCCAACTCTCCCTTCCCAGTGTCAGTTCCCTTTCTCTCCACCCCTTCTCTCCCTCCCTTTTATAGGCTCCCAAGTTAGTTTAGGCTGATTCCAACCCTGAATTTTCCATCCTTCTTCCTTGTACGAGATCACAGGTATATGCTAGCATCACATTTGGCCTGGTTCTCTCTTCTTAGGTTTGAAATGCACAATGAAGAGAAATAAAAGCAGAAAGATCTCCAGAAAGAATCCATGATGAGATTAAAGGTTTCACAGTCCAAGCTAATGTCCATGGATACTTTCATTGACCCAAGAACATCGCATTCCTGGCAAAAGAAGTGTGGCAACACTAAGGCAAGGTAAATGGCTAAGTAGGCAGAGAGGCATGAGCTAGGTTGGCCACAGAGCGAGAGTGGCATGTTGCTGTAGGGTAAGGTACAGCCTGGAAAGATTCCTGAATTGCCTGCTTAACCTTAGTTGGAATATTAAGGACACACATCTGTTTTCGTCCCCGACAATGGGAAATTTTTATTCCATTGTGTTGGATGGCAGCTAGGAGTTGACTAGTGTGGCATTCTTTCTTCAGTCAGCACCTTCCTGTTTTCCAAACGCATGCCGTAGAGTGATTTGTCATCTTTGTTCTAAATATTAAGATTTAGGATTGTCTGTATATTGTATATAATTTAGGTACATTGTCTTAAGAATGGAAATTTCTTGTGGTTGGGATAAGGAGCTTAGAGGAAGATCTCATGCCAGGATGGGTTTTGACCATAATCATTACTGACTGCTTGCATCCATTTGTGATTTACCAAATGCTAACTCATGCTAAGGGCTCCCACCAGATTTCCTCATTGAAATGGCCTGTACACATTGGTAGCTGAACTCCTTCAATATAAGAAACCAAGGCTGAGGTGGCAGCAAAAGTGTGACAAAATAGAAATAGGGCCATGGTTTCCATCCAGCTTCATTTCTAACCCAGTGTTTCTACATGCAACAGCAACAAAAGCACCACCATCAGCAGCAGCGTGAGGGAACTTGTTAGAAATGCAAAGCCTAGACTCACTGCATCAGATACTAGGTTTTGGGCCCAGCCATCTATGTTTTATGCACATTTTAGTGCACAAAATTCTGATACATAGTTAGATTATTCAGATTCTGATACATAATTAAATTTAAGAACCACTCCTATAACCAGTACCCCAGCTCTTAACTAATGAGTAAAACTGAACTTTCCAGAGTCTTTGATATATTTACACATCACATACAAAGTGAGTCATAGGCTGGTCCATGGGTCTTACTGTAGGTCTTGTGCTGTCTTGGACCCTGGCTTTCTTAGGTGAGCATGGTTATTGATGACGTGAAGGATTCACCTCTTTAAAATCCTGGCTTCTAAAAGCAGACAGGCTATAGGATTCTTAGTTACTCCCACTGTCTATATTTTTCCCCCGTCTATATTTTTTTTCTTCAAGTATCTGCTTGAACAGAAAGATGATACAGAAATACAGGATGCAGGAGGAAGGATTAGGAAGGACCCAACAAACTTGAACCAGGCTGGAAAAACTGGAAAGATTCTAACTTTGGCCACCTGGAAGAAATCCCTCGTAAGCTTCATTGGGAAATGCTTGGCCCTGGTGGGAAAGAGGTAATGAACAGCCTGAGTATTCACTCCTGAATGAGATAACATGTGCCTATTAGCCAGCAGTCACACAGACAGATTAAAACAATTTTTGGAAATGTTGGATTCACCATGCTGTAAATGAAGAGCCTACATGATCTCATACCAAACTAGTGATAAATAAGGCTGGTGTACCTCTCCAAATATATATATGGGGTGGGGGCAATAGCCAGTTAATTTCTGTTTGGAATGCTGCATGTTCTCGGTTGTTAAAGTGAGCTAACATTAAAGGGCACACTTTGCTGGTTTCTAGTACATGTAGGACTTCTAGGAAACTACTTGTTTTCTAGTGTAAGTGGCTTGGTGTGTGTTTGATATACACATATTCATATATATAACAAATGAGGACAAGGCAAAAACAGATTGTGCTCTATTTGTGGCAGGGTGAAGCATAGAGGACTACTGGATTAGATGGAGAGAGTGCCTAGGCATCTCCATGGCCCCACTGATGTTCAAAAATTCCTCAAGACAGTGCTGAGCTACACATGTGCACCTGGAAGAGGTAGGCTACCTATAAGATATTCTTTTTGTAGGCCAGGTAATATAAGAGTGTAAGATGCTGCTCCTTAAAGTCCCAGCTCTCCTGGCCAAAGTGCTTTTAAAAGAGTGACTTCATAGATTTCGGTGCTGGAAGGCTTCTCTAGAGCATGAGGGGCAACTAGTATCCGAAAGTATAGCTCTCGTAGCACCCACCAGGCTGTAACCTACCAGATGCCAGGTATCATCATTGTCCTTACTGAGATCTGATGGCTACATGGATCTGTTTTGTGACACATTGATAGGATTGGTGCCTAAGAAGCAGGACCTCCATGGAGAGCAATAGAGAGGGACCACGCTGCAATCTCAGATTGGCCGCTACTGTATATACCGTATAGCAGCGCAAACAGAACTGTCTGTATATCCTCCCTAGGGTGTCAGGAACCGCAAAGAGAGGGCCCAGAATTGTTTTGGAATGCCCAAGCTTCCTCCCAAATGACATTCTAATAAAAGAGAAGTAGAACATATTTGCCTAATGATGGGATGAAAGAAGATACTGTCTAGAACAGAGTAAAGACAAAGAGTAGGCCTAGGAAAAATCAGTGTGATCCAAGATAGTATCTCCTACTGAGTGAGATTGTTGGAGAAAGCTACCCTTCTGTATACTGAGGTCCTTAGATTTTGTGTATGTTAGTGGAAGAGGCACTTTTAAATAGTCTTTTTCCAGCCACAAGTTTGAATTCCTTAGTATATTAAATAGACAGTGAATCAAATGATCCTATCTCCCTCCAGAAGTTTTTATTTGTTTGATACCCTGTGTTTGGAGTTTGGGGACAGGAACTGTTTTGCTATTGTGAAACTTAGAAGAAAAAGTTTTGAAGGAGAATCTTCATTTATAAGAATCCGTAGATACTTTGTGTATGTGGGTACATAAGTGTGTGTACTGCAAATGATTGTTTTTTCTTAAATACATTTTAGAAGAAGGTTTCATTTAAGCATATGAATTCCCACCATTTGATTTACTTGGACTGGCAATCACTAGTTCTGCCTTTTCTTGAAATAGCATGGCTTTTGGCATCTTAGTAGTTGCATCAGATTCAAGAATAAAACATTTGATAGGAACTATAGGTATCCATACAGCAGTTTGGTCCAGGTAGGCCAATGGGACTCTGATTTTGTTAGAAAGCCAGTTCCTGCTTGAAGATTATATATGGTACTAAGTCTTACTGGTTTCAGTTTTCTCGCTCTGAGTGACATTTCTGGACGTTTTCTCACTTTTATAAGCCCCAAGTCATAGTGGGTTGTGTCCTGTAGGCCTATTTGTGCCTCTTCAGAATGACCAAAATGGAAAGTATAAAGGGTAACTTACTTACTGCTTCCTGCAGATTGATGCATGCCACTTTCTTCAGCAAAGTTTAACCTGTATTCAGGCGGTAGAGAGACGACAAAACCATATTTTTTTTAACTGAAAAGTAGAAATTTATTATTTTTTTTAATTTTTATTTAACTTTTATTAATTACACTTTATTCACTTTGTATCCCCCCATAAGCCCCTCCCTCCTCCCCTCCCGATCCCACCCTCTGTCCCCCTTCTTCACCCATGCCCCTCCCCAAGTCCACTGATAAGGGAGGTCCTCCTCTCTTTCTTTCTAATCTTAGTCTATCAGTTCTCATCAGAAGTGGCTGCATTGTCCTCTACTGTGGCCTGGTAAGGCTGCTCCCCCCTCAGGGGGAGGTGATCAAAGAGCAGGCCTATCAGATTATGTCAGAGGCAGTCCCTGCTCCCATTACTATGTAACCCACCTGGACACTGAACTGCCATGGGCAACATCTGTGCAGGGGTTCTAGGTTATCTCCATGAATAGTCCTTGGTTGGAGTATGAGTCTCTGGGAAGACCCCTGTGTTCAAATTATCTTGTTCTGTTGCTCTCCTTGTGGAGTTCCTGTCCTCTCCAGCTCTTACTATTTCCCACTTCTTACATAAGATTCCATTCTCTCTGCCTGATAAAATCAAAACATAACTAGGTTATCCATATCTTCAAGCTCCTAATTTCTTTCATGATTCTGTCCATAGCCACATTACTATATCACAAAATCATTTTATTTCTTCAAATGTCCTACATTATGTCCATCCTTGTCATAACTTGAATCTTGAATTGCTTCCAAAGGCCGAAGTATTGAATTCTTGGTCTCCTCCTGTGATGCTACAAGGATGCAGTGGTGGTGGAACCATTGCGAGTTGGCGCTGAGTGGGAGGAAATGAAGCCATGTTGTCCATTCCTTTGAAAGTGAGAGTGGGATGTCAATGGCCCCCACCTCTCCTGCTTCTTGACCGCTTTGAGTCAAACAGACCTTCTAGCCATGTACTCCTACAATAATGAACTTCTATGTCATCATAGATCCAGGGCTGGTACCTATATTGAAAGTTCTGAAAGTGTGAGCCAGAGTAAACCACTCCTCCTTTTCAATTGTTTACCTTAGTTCCTTTTTCACAGAAACCTGACTAATGTACATCTCCCTGCTCTGCACTGATTCATTGATGAATCACTGCAAATGACCATCCAGGCTCCAAATTGAACTTGTCCAACTTTCATAAACCTTCATGTTCAGTATTCCCTGTGGCAGGTAGTAGCAACTACTATGCTTCTAGTTGTCCATGTCTAGAATATAACTACAGACTGAGGATACAGACTAAGGATGACCCGTTACTTTGTTTTTTTCTTCACCCTACATTTTTCATCTGTTAAGAAATCTTCTGTCAAAATAGTTGCAGAGTCTGATGAATGACCACACTGCCTCCAATGCTGCCGTTCTTTTCCAAGCCACCATCAATGTCTTTGGGTTATGAGAATTGTTTCCTAATTCTTTCCCTTCTTTGTCCTTCTTTGGTCCACACTGATAACCCAGAAGCTGGAGTACTTGGAACTTCTATTAAACATGTAGTTGGGGCTGCAGATAGAGCTCAGGAGTATAATGCTGCCAGCATGCATAGGTGTCTGGGTTCAATCCCTAGAATTTCCAGAAAATCAAATGTCGAGTCAAAGTTCATGAACCCTTCCCCTTAAAAAGAACAGGTAAATCAGGACCCCTTACACTTGCCTGCAAGTCTATGATTTGGATACCACTTTCTTTTCTTAGATTATCTCTTAGTGCTCCCTTTCTTCCTCTTTCCCCTCTGTCTGTGGTGACCATCTTATTGTTGCTAAAGGAGAAGCTTTTTAACACTCTGTTCTTTTTTTCATGGGGTCATTCTTTTCCAAGTCATATCATATGTCTTTGATTAAATGTCATTTTAAAATATGGCCTATCTCTGAACATGGTACTTCAAGTGGGAATGCACAGCCAAACACACAGTTCCCTTTTATCCTGCTTTTCAGGATTTTTTTTTTAAACTGTATTTTGTTCTTTTTGTATTCTTATTTCTTTGCTATGATTTTTGCTTGTTTCTGTTCACTAGAAGCTCAGTTGTACCAAACTGGCCTTTGTTGTTATCTTTAGGGTATGTTTGGTTGTTAACTAATTTTTCCTGTTGGGACTTCCTGTAGGGGCTCCCTTCTTGACTATTGAATGAATAAACACATATTGCCAATATTGTATCTTTAATACTATTTTTAAATACAAGTGAAGAATTACTGAGAAGTTGGTTGTGGTGGCGCACATCTTTAATTCCAGCACTTGGGAGGCAGAGGTAGGCAAATCTCTGTGATTTCAAGGCCAGCCTGATCTACAAAGCAAGTTTCAGGACAGCCAGGGCTATTATATAGAGAAACCTTATCTCAAAAAACAAACAAACAAACAAAAACAATAAAAAAAACAAAAAAGAATGAGTGTGAGATATGAAAGTGACCCATAATGTTATCTTTTTCTTAGTTTTTTTCTTTTAACTGTTCCATCATGTACAAAATAAAAGTTAATAAGAAAACAATAATTACTCCTAAGAAAAAAACACAAGCTAGGCATGGTGGTGGATCTCTATAACTGAAGCACTCAGCGGGTTGAGTTTGGAGCAGGAGGATTGCTCAGATTTCAAAGCCAGCCTCGACTGCATAGTGAGCTCCTTTCTCCAAAAGAAAAATAGCATTTTAAAAAGGGTTGGAATGGTAAGGCTGCTCCCCCCTCAGGGGGAGGTGATCAAAGAGCAGGCCAATCAGTTCATCTCAGAGACAGTCCCTCTTCCCATTACTAGGAAACACACTTGGACACTGAACTGCCATGGGAGAGCAGCCTTACCAGGCCACAGAAGAGGACGATGCAGCCACTTTTGATGAGAACTGATAGACTAAGATCAGAAAGAAGAGGAGAACCTCCCCTATCAGCGGACTTGGGGAGAAGCATGCATGCAGAAAGAGGAGGGTGGATGGGATCGGGAGGGGAGGAGGGAGGGGCTTATGGGGGGATACAAAATGAATAAAGTGTAATTAATAAAAAATAAAAAATGTTAAAAAAAAGCACAAAGCTGAATGTTTTTTTTTTTTAAAAAAAAGGGGTTGGAATGCATATAGCTCAATTGTAAGAATACTTGTCTAGAATTCTTGAGACCTGGCACCACATAAACCTGGTGGCACCTTTTCCTAATCCCAGCATTCTAGATGTGGAAGCAGGTGGATTAGAAGTTCAAGGTCATACTTGCCTGTACAGGGTGTTCCAAGCCAACTTGGGCTAGAGACCCTGTGAAGAGAGGTAAGGGGATAGGGAGGTAGGAAAAGAAACAATAAATAACATGGCATAAAGCAAAATAGTAAATATGACACATTGACCCTCATAAATACATGCACTCTGTTTGTGAACAGTTTAAGGGAGATGGTGAGTGGGAGAAAACAAACAGCTTTGGTTTAACTCACAGTGAGAAAAAGAACTCTATAAAGCTTGTATTTCATATTAGGAAAGCATTGAAAAAAATAAGTTCAGTCATGACATGGGATCCTTCCTGGAATGGGCTCATGACAAGGAAAAGTCCAGTTCCTTCTGAGCAGTTACCTGAGTTTGATCTAAGCAATTGAGATTATGTTTCCCTCTTTACGTATGTGTAACAGAAAAGTTACTTCCGCATGTGTGGCCATATGGGATCCAATGGCCTACATTCTGTTTAGGTCACTTATCAGAAGTTCTTGTTGTGGTCTTGAGCTCCTCATCCAGAATGTTTTTAAAGCGGCATTTTTCAGATTGACGCACTTCTTATTCTGCACAAGGCATTACAGCAGCACCCTGATTTCTGATCTCACACAGGGTAAAAGGTCTGTCTTTAGCTAGTAAGCCCCAACAGGACTGAACCCTATCTTACTCTCTGGCTTCCCTTCCTTGTTTATCTCCCTATATTAATTAGACTGGAATCAGCTCACACTTAGAGACACAACTTTTCTATTGCATGTATACAATGTATTTTGTATACATTATACATGCATACAATGTATTTTGTATACATTATGCATGCATACAATGTATTTTGTATACATTATACATGAATACAATGTATTTTGTATGCATTATGCATGTATACAATGTATTTTGTATACATTAGGCATGTTTACATTGTATTTTGTATCCTTTATGTATCTTTCCCCACTCTCTCCCAACTTCCCAGATATTCCCCACATCCCCTTCTAACTTTCTTTTTCTTTTTTCTTTAAACTTAATTTTATTTATATATTTATTTATTAAAATTTATTCACTTTGTATCCTCGATGCAGCCCCTTTCCTTGTCTATTCCCAGTCCCATCCACCCTCCCTCTTCTGCACTTATGTGCTTTCCCTAGTCCACTGATAGAGGAGGACCTCCTCCCCTTCTATATGACCCTAGTTTATCAAGTCTCATTAGGGCTGGCTGCATCATCTTCCTCTGTGGCCTGGCAAGGGTGCACTCCCCAGGGAGAGGTGATCAAAGAGCTGGCCACTGAGCTCATGTCAGAGACAGCCCCTGTACCCCTTTACTAGGAAACCCACTTGGAAACTGAGCAGCCAATGGGCTTCCCTTGAATAGGGGTTCTAGGTCCTCTCCATGCATGGTCCTTGGTTGGAGTATGGGTCTCTGCAGGACCCCTCTGGGCTCACATATTTTGGCTCTGTTGTTCTCCTGGTGGAGTTCTTGTCCCCTTCAGGTCTTTCTGTCCCCTTCTTCCATAAGGTTTCCTGCACTCTGCCCAAAGTTCGGCTCTGAGTCTCAGTATTTCCCTCGATACCCTGTTGGGTAGAATCTTTCAGAAGTCCTCTATGGAAGGCTCCTGTACTGCTCCTTGTCTTCTACTTCTTTTTTTTATTAAATTTTTATTTTTTTATGTTAATTACAGTTTATTCACTTTGTATTCCAACTGTAGGCCCCTCCCTCATTCCCCCAATCCCACATTCCCTCCCTCATCTACTCCTATGCCCCTCTCAAGTCCACTATCTTTTTTTTAAAGTGTAAACCCATAGTTCAAAATTAGTGCTCCCAAAAGCCATCCAGTGGATTGTAGTCAAACAACTAGGGACCATGCCCCTTAAGAAAGCTTCAACCAATAGTAGCTCCTCAGCTACAGGTAGGGCCTTATGAACCCCTTTTCTCTCACTTTCAATGGCAAGTTATGATGGTTTTCTTTCCTTCATTCTTTTGTTCTTTCATTCTTTATTTTATGTAAAAATACATTTATTTTCTTTCTATTTTACATCTCAATCTTTTTCCCTCCCTGCTTTCTCCCAGTCTTTTTCCCATCTCCCTCTGCCCTCCTCCCCAACATTCATCCTCCATTTCTCTTGAGAAAAGGGTAGGTTTCCCATGGATATCAATCAACCATGCCATAGCAAGTTGCAGTAAGACTAGGCACCTCCCCTCATATTGAGGCTGGACAAGGCAACCCAGTAGGAGGAAAGTTGTCTCAAAAGCAGGCAAAAGAGTCAGATAGCTCCTGCTCTCACTGCTAGGAGTCCCCACAAGAAGATCAAGCTATACAATTAATATATAGACAGAGGGCTTAGCTCAGAAAATACAGGGTCCTTGGTTAGAGTTTCAATCTCCATAAGTCCCTGAGGGCCCAGGTTGGTTGATTCTGTGGGTTTTCTTGTGATATCCTTGATCCCTCTGGCTCCTGCAGTCCTTTTTCCCCACTTCTACATGATTCTCCAAGCTCTGCCTAATGCTTGGCTATGGGTCTCTGCATCTGTTTCCATCGGTTGCTGGGTGAAGCCTCTGTCTGATGACAATTGGGCTAGGCATCAGTCTATGAGTAGAGCAGAATATCATTAGGAATCATTTTCTATCTTAGGTCTCTGGGCTACCCGGTGTATGTGATGATGCCTTTCTTAAGTTAGCATACTGTGTGTTCATGCTGTATGGGTTTTTAAACATATATGTGAATGAAGTAGGAGATTCATCAATGGAATATTCTATAGCCTTATCATAGAAGTGGCCATTTTATATATAAATGTACCTGGAGGACATAAGCTGAGTCCAGAAAAATGACTACTGTTTTGTCTGACTTGTATGTAGAATCTCAAAATTGTGGAACTCACAGTAGTAGTGAGTAATAGATACCAGAGGGTGGGCTGGGGAGCAGGTGATAGACATGGAGACATGTTTGTCAAAGGATACAAATTTCACTTAGAATAAGAGGAGTAACTTTGGGTGACCTATTGTTCAACATGGTGACTTAATAAGTAAGATACTGTGTATTTTCAGTTTGCTGAGTCCTTTTTAAGTTCTCACTAAGAAAGTAAATATTTTAGGTGATAACTGTGTCTCTTCTTTTAATAGAAGCAGTATCAGAACAAAGGCTTGCGAGATGGTGCAGTGAGTAAAGGGCTTGTCATCCGAGTGTGAAGAACTGAGCTCAGATCTCCAGAATCCACGTAAAACCTGGCATGGTAGTATGTATCTCTAATACCAGTGCTCCTGTGCTGATCTGGGAGGTTGAGATAGGAAAATCCCCAGAAACTACTCCACAACTATTGTAATAGGAGCCAAGAAGTCAGTTTTCCTGTAAGTTGTTTCTTTTCCCTCTCCACTTTTCCCCTACCTGCCTAACCAACTATAATAGAACATGGGTATGGATAGTTTTATACGACAGACTACGTATTAGTCTTTTTAGTCTTTTTTGCCTCCTGCATTGTATCCTTGAGCTTTGCTATGTGGATAAGACTGCTTTATCAATCAATGGTAGACAGTGATCAGCTTATATCTCCCTTCCCACATTAATAAAGTTTGAGACTTAACTGTTTGATTATTTTTTTTTTAATTTTTTCAGACAGGGGCTCACTATGTAGCTTTGGCTATCCTGGAACTCACTATTAGACCAGGAGGGACTTGAACTCACTGAGATCTGCCTACATCTGTCTCCTGAGTGCTGGGATTAAAGATGTGCACTACCATGTAGTTGATCGGATATTAGACTCTAAACGGCTTCTCCACCCCAGCTAGTTCCCAATATGATATTATTAATACTCCCATGCCTAGTCAGCTACTTATTTCTTGACTTTCTGTTGAGATGACTGTCATCTTTAGAAGTGTTTCTCTCTGTGTCAGTATACACATGTTTTTACAGTTGTATGTATCCATATGTGCCAGTGGTCAAAATTATGTGTTTTTCTATCATTGCCCACCTCATTTATTATTGATTTTTTTTCGTGTGTGTTTGTGTGTGTGTGTGTGGGTGGGTGTGTGTGTTAAGAGAGATGTTAGGGTGTGGGGGTGATCCTCAGGTGTCAGTCTTTGGTTTCCATCTTCCTACAGTGTATTTGTACGTACACCAACTCTGCTAGCTAGAGATTCTCTTCCCATTTTGCTCTAGGGTTGTTGCACTCATTTTTTAAAAACTTTGTTTTATTTGGGGTTCCTAAAAGTGTCTCCCTTCCAACCCCCCAACCCTAGGTAGGAGAGAGTAGGTTAGTGGGGAGAGGTGGTACACTGTACTTCCAGCTGTTTAGGGTCCAGGGGTTTTTTGTGGGCTACACCAGTCTCTGTTAACAGCATGCAGCAAGCAGTCTCTACTAAGCCCCTCAGAATCCTAGACCACTCCCCTCTCCATGATGCTCCAGGCAGGCCATTACCAGCTGCCAAAGACCACGCCCTGCAGGAGGCAATTATCAGCTATGGACAAATTAAAATCCTATATTTGGTATTAAAACAAAAACATATTTACATAAAATAACTGAGTTTTTTTTTTAAAACCAAAACATTGTTTATATAGGAACACTGAGATCACAAATGCATATTACCGTGCTAGGCTTTCTGTGAGCTCCAGGGAGTCAGACTCAGGTCTTCACACTGACAACAACAAGCACCGTACCTCCAGATGCATCAACATGGCCCCTATACAGTGTTTCTTATAATCTAAAATATGTGGCTCATGTACTTGCGGTTTTTAGCCATCCCAAATTCTGCTTTTACT